TTACCCCAATCGTTTGGCACCAATGGTTTGGGACCACTTAAGAATGAATTCCTCGCTTTGTCTGCCACCATCCCATTTTTGTCACTCTGCATTAACTTGCTGCTGCAGGGGCCTTCACTCCAACAACCTCTCGGGCTCGATTCCTCCTTCCATTGCCTCGCTGAACAATATCGATGCACTGTGGGTACTTTGCTGCATCTCCTCTCCTGCCACCGCTGCTGTTGCTCCACCCACTACGGCAACCTCCAGAGTCCTTTTTTCTCTTCCCATTCTGAAAATTTCCAAAAGCCACTCTCTTTATGCTTCCTGAGCCTTTTATTACCACCATCCAATCCACTCTCTCCTCTCTTCCTGCAGTGACTTGAGCTCCAACCAACTGTCCGGTCTCATCCCCGATGAGATTGGTTCCATGCTCGCCCTCACCAGACTGTCAGTCACTCCCCTCCACCACAACGCCGTGCAGTTTTCATTCCTATTCCAAATCCACCCACGTTCATCTTTGCCACCAACGCCCTTTCTTGTTCATGCACACCCCATGATCGTCCCAATCGTTCATTTTCCTTGTGCTCAACTCCTCCTCTGCCCTGCACACTTCCTTGCAGTGATCTCTCAAACAATCAGCTCTCGGGCAACATTCCTGCAACGCTGGGAGAAATTATGCAGTTGCAATTCCTGTGAGCTTCAATCACATTATGTTGCATAATATATCCATCAAAGGTGACCAACACTAGAAAGTGGATATATAAACCACATCAACCACTTCTTCTGCTCACTCATTTAGAACGGGTTCCATGCTGTAGGCAGCAGCAGTCCTTCCATTTGTGGTCGACTCCTATATGGGGCTTTGTATCAGGGACCTTACTTTGCTTGTTGTCTCCCTTGAGTAGATGCACCACCAATGTCAAGTCAACTATACGTCACATTCCATACGATGCTGCAAGTGCATTTTCACAGGCGCCTTTTTGTGGTGTAGATATGCTTTATCCATGGATGCTGCTGTGCTGACTACCGCTATCAAGACCATGTATGCGCAATCGCTGTTTATGCATTCATCCAGATTTTGTGCATGTGATCCTTTGCCAGTTCGCCATGTTGCCTTCGTTTGCCCTGTGGAACCAATATAATCTACATACAACTACAGGTATCTGTACAAGAACAATCTTTCTGGATCCATCCCTGACAGCATTGGCACCTTAGCTTCTCTCGTATCTCTGTAAGTCACCTTGCTGCTCTTCCTAACTGTTCTCCACATTCCATTTGCACTCTGATACTTGCAACCTTAGGGCTCCCTGCCCTTCAAGAAGGTACCATTTATGCGTTGAGCATTGTTTTAAAAGGGGTATAACGTCTAAGTCATTCAAGAACATATGCATTTGCAGGTAGCCTAGCTGGCAGTTTGAATTGAAGGCTTGAACTGTTAGTTCGGCTTGACGTTTCTGAGCCGCGCCAACAGTCTTGGTTTATTCCAAGTCGAGCCCAGCTAGCTCGACGAAGCGAACCATGCCAACAGTTTTGCTCGGCAGCTCAATTTTATTTTATCGGCAACCAGTGCTAAAATTGTGGCAACATGTTGTGTGCTGGTCGAAGAGAGGCAGATTGCATTGCGTTTCTTTGCCTTCCGACTTAGTTATTGCCTACACAAGAATCACTGTGAACTGGAATCTGAGGCTATAGGACAAGCTGATCCGAATCTCACTGACTGCAACTGCTGTGGTGATCACAAGTCATCTCACCCAGCTGAACTGCACCTTCCATCCATGGCTTTCAACAGCTATCTTGACTCCAACCAGCTTTCAGGGCCCTTGCCATCCTCCCTAACGGATCTTACAGCACTCACAAGCTTGTAAGCTGCCTGCCTGACCCCGATGGGATTATGTCCTTCATGCCTTTCTGTAGTCTAGAATCCAGACATCCTAATTCTTAAGGGTTCGAATTAGCCCCTATCATCTACACACTATGTGAGGAAATTTCAGTCATTGTGTACATATCTGTGGTGCTTACGAATAGTTGTTGTTTTGGCCTTATTGTGCTGTAACATAACAAGAGGCCTATCACATTCCATGTACGCCTCCTTCCAACGTTATCTCCATCTCCATGTATCCTACACTCTGAACCCCTTCTTATTTCGCAGGGTTCTCGACAACAATCAACTCACTGGCTCTATTCCATTGAGCATTAGTTCCCTCTCAAGTCTCGCAGTCCTGTAATGCCCTTCGCTGCCCCTGCGCTCCACTTGTTGTCCTTCCTCTCCTCTCCTCAGTCCACTCTCCCTTTCCTTCGCTATGCTCGCCTCACCGCCATTTCTCTATCCAGCCATAGTCAAGACATCGAAAGAAGAAAAAAAAAGCAAGTCCTTATCTGTCCATTTATCTCGCCTCATCTCCCCATCTCCTGCCCCCATTTCAGAGCACTGTCTCGCAACCAGCTATCTGGACACATCCCAGACTCCATCGGCTCACTCAGCAACCTGACAGTCATGTACTGCTGAATTCAGCTTAACTTCAGTCCATTGCCCACTGCTAGTGGTGCCTATTGTCTGCTAAAAACTCTTATCAGCTTAGCATGCGTAAACTGCTCATATTCTTATGTCCAGTGTAACGCTGACCAGCATGTCTTCTGTGTAACGTACATCAGTTGATCGTCACTCACAGATTGTATATCTTATGTGTTTTTTATCTCTCTCTCTCTCTCTCTCTTTCTTTTTTCACAATTTTCTGCTTTCCCCCTTCTCTCTTCCAAGGACACACATGTGCAACCTTGTTTTTAACAAAAGTGTTTATCCACCCATCTGCGCATCTCACGGAATTCGCAGGGGGCTGCAGCGCAATCTTCTTGATGGAACATTTCCTGATACCTTTGGTGACCTTTCTCAATTGGGTTATCTGTAAGTGAACACACAGCACGGCACAAATGCAAACATGACTGAATACAAAATTCCGTTTTCTCAATATTTGTTTGAGTAGTGTATAGATGTGAACACTATGCGTGCATCAAGTAATTTCCTTGCAGGCTTAATTCCAGTCACACGCATCTCACCTCTCACACTCACAAGCTCCATACAATGTTACCCAAGTGACAAGTCCTCATAGATGTATGTCTCTTATTTCACCAAGTCGGGGTGACCATGTTACTTTACCTGTCTTAAACACCACCCACCCCCAACCGAAGGACGAGAACACGGAAAGGTGTACATCCAGTCTTAAGTAAGCCTGTACAAACGATTACGAATACGAATACGAATATTTTTCCTGTATATTCTCCGAATACTGGGTGGTTTCTTATTTGAACGAATACTGTCCCAAAACCGAATACGAATACGATTCGAATACTGACCCAAAACCGAATACGAATACGATTCGAATACTGCCGAATCCGAATCGAATACGAAAATTGTCGAGTAATAATATGTTCCGTATAGCCAGTGTCAAACGGCTGATGCATGTTCGACACAGGGTGATACAATGCACTTTGTGATATCAACACCTCGACTTAATCCCGCACCAAAGATGATGGCCGCATGCGGGGATGGAGAGGGGGAGGGAGGGGGGGAGGATGTTAATGGTAGAATACCGAATAGTAACGAATACCCCGAATATCCGTTAGCCGAATATTCTACATCCACGAATACTCGTGATGCGAAAAAATTCGAATATGAGGCCATTTCTTATTCTCTCGAATTCAGGTATTCGAACGAATATCGAATAATTCTCGAATACCGAATATTCTTGCACAGGCTTAGTCTTAAGTGATTCCAAGGGGGGAGGGGAGGGTATCTTACAAGTATATCGAAGTTCTATACTTTGGAATCATCAGGTCGATTGCCTTCAACCATCTGTATGGTCGGATCCCTGTCAGCTTCACCCAACTCACACAGCTCACGTACCTGTAAGCCACACGATGCTTGCCATGCCATGCCACGATCAATATTCCACGGTTCCTTAGGTCTCCGAAGCATTTATTTCAACGTGCAGTTTTCGGCTTACACACTGGACGGAATTGGGCTGCTGGGGCTACTTCAGTAATGTGCGTCAAGGTTCATTTAGTTCTTTAAATCCACGTTGCATCCATGCGTAAAGCGATTTTCAACCAGCTTTTGTTACGTGAGCCCTGGTAATATAAAATTTTACAAAGTTTCAGGTTGCCAAGGCTGAGGGTCGACATCCCCACACCTAACAAGCAGCGGGCTTTAAAAACATTTTTCTTGCATGACTCCACTCTTCGCCACAAAGAACTTGCATCTCTTTCCCTCATTTTTTTCGTCCCCTACTTTCCCCCCCCACACCCCATTCCTCCCCCCGTCCCCCCCCCCCCCCCCCCCCCCCCCTTCTCCCCTCTCCACCCCCCCACACCCCACACCCCTTCTTCTCCCAGCGATCTCTCCCGCAACTATCTCACAGGCCCCATCGACCTGCCAGCCATCAGCACCCTTCGCCTCTCCAGTAACTTCCTCTCGGGACCTCTGCCCGAAGGGGCATGCCAGGCCCGCAATTTCGACACCAACTGCTTCACACTGCCTCCTGGCTGTGCCAAGGTGGTGCAGCGGCAGGAAGCAGCATGCAATGCATTTTGCGGCATCACCTCTGCTGCACCTTCATCCTCCGCTGGTGGAAGTGGTGCCGCTGGTGCATCTGGTGCTGCTGTTGCCACTGCTTCTGCTTGTGGTGGTAAAGGGATTTGCGTTCCCGACCGGGCTAGCATGTCTGCAAGCTGTGCGTGTGATGCAGGGTTTATCAAGTCTGGAAGGATCACCTGTATTGCGGAAGGTAAGGAGCACCGTTTTCCATCATGAAATTACAGTTGTAGAAATGTAGAAGCAGTAGATGACATGTGACATGGGCACGTTTCCTGCAAGGGGCGATTGATTCAACACTGGCGTTGCTCTCTCTATTGAGCTAGAAGTTACTGAGTGCACTCTTTTGGCGTTTTCACTTTCCATCTCCACGTTTTCAGACAATATTGGAAGCTACTCCGTCAACCAGGCTATTCTTCCACCAACAGCCATGCTCACCAAGGGGACACAGAAGGAGACAGGCGGGAACTTCACTGCAACTCCAGTGACACTGTTTGTGTACGAGGCAGGGCAGGCGGTGTCTGGGTGTGGAGTGCAGCTGGCCTTCCAGGTCAACTTCACCTTCTCCCTCTCGCCTCGATCAGGCCGCGTGGGCAACAGCGGCTTTGCCTTCGTCGTCTCAGCCACAGACCGGGTGGGGAATGGAACTGGTGTGGGGTATGCTGGAATGGACAATCGGAGCCTAGCAATTGAACTTGACACTTTCCAGGACAAGCAGTATGGGGACATGAGCAGCCATTATGTTGGGCTGAACGTTCGAGGCCAGGAGACTTCGCTCGCCGCTGTAAAGTCACCATTTGTGCTGAACAACAAGAAGGCATACTCGGCATGGGTGGACTATGAGCCTGGGGAGCCCGGCACCATCCAGGTGTTCCTGGCTGCTTCAGAGGTGAAGCCAGAGGAGCCGTTGCTGGAGAGGAGGGTGGCGCTGTGTGAGGTGCTGCAGGCTGGAGCAGAGCAGAATGCGTTCTTCTTTGGCTTCGTGGCATCCACTGTGAAGCCTTTTCAGATGCATCTCATTCTTACCTCGGCAATGACCACAGGTGCTTCTTGTATTATGATTTTAATCATTAGATTAGTATTCATCACATGCGTTGCTGCTACTACCCCGTTACCCTCAGCCTGTTGGTTCAGCTGCTCGCATGACTGGTTTCTCGTGCCATCAATGGCAGCACATGAATGTGGCCACTTCTTTTGTTGTTTCCTCTTTGTGTCCACATTTCTGCAGGCCTTCCTGCCCCACACCAGCCAGTGGATATTATTCCAGGTAAATATCTCGGTTGCCCTTGCATCAATGATCAACACACCCCACTTTGTTGCCTATAATTCTGCAGGCGTCCCTGGTGTAAGTGCAACACACATTGACCTTGCTCTCTGTGTTTATGTATTGTGATTTATAACAACACATGGATGCGTGCGCACACACTCACCATCCCCAATTCAACTACCTTTTCTGGCCAAACTCACTCTCCTTTGCACGCCCAGCCTTCGGACTGACTCTCTCGCCAGCGTCGTACGCACCAGTGGGAGTGAGTCCCTTCATGCGCTACATGAGTGCGGACTACCAAGTATTGCCCAACCAGCCCAATCAATGGCGCATCAGCAGTTCTCACTCCTGGGACTCCATGCCCTTCCTCGGCTGGCCTGTCAAGAACCAGAAGGACTGCAGTGAGCGACCAGTGTGAATATTGTGTGACTGGTGTTTCGTGGTCTCTTGTCTGGATCAATGGAAGGAGTGGTATTTTCACTGTGTTTGCTTGAATTCTGCTGTCTGGGATTACATCCTCTGTCATGTACGTCTTCCTAACAACCTGCTCTTTTCAGATGCGAGCTGGGCGTACGCGGTGGTGGCGAGTGTGGAGGCGGCATACGGCATAGCGATGAACCAAGAGGCCCCACGGCTGTCAGTGGACTCGCTCTTTGCAGCCATGGGGCTCACCTCCCCTGCTGCCAAGTGCACCACAGGGAACTCCCCTGCAGCGGCCTTTGAAAAGCTCCTCACTCTGCCCCGTGGTGGACTCAGCACCGACAGCAAGCCTGTACGTACGAATGATGCAGGGAACCAGCAATGAGTCATATGCAAGTCCAACGTGACCCAGCAAGCATACAAGCACAACCGAGCGATGGGACAGTAACCTTCAGAGCAGAGAGCTGTGAATTTTTATTCAGTTCTGTATCACCTGATGCTGTTGCATTCTTATACGTTTCCTTCTCTTATTTTCCTCATCCATTCCTCTAGCCTTCTTACAACACATTGGGCTGCTCCAGAAAGTCTCTTTATCTCTGTGCGCTTGTGATTTGCAGCCATCAACGTATCCCATCCAAGGGTTTGAGCGCACTCGGTTCAAGGGGTACGTGGGGCTCATGCTGGCAGTGCGGCGGCAGCCAGTGGTGGTGCACATCGAGGCCTCTGCCTCCACATTCATTCAATACGACGGGGTGGGTTCTCCATATGTAGCAGTTTGATCCTGTGAGCATCTCTATGGTCATCCCATGGGAGAATGCACAGTGGGTGCTTCAACTGTTCATAATACATATGATTTAATACGTATGCAAGCATTTCCGATAACCACATCCATCTGTCACCATCATCTCCCTCTCCTCTCTCGTCCAGACCTTCAAGTATCAGGATCCCTCTTGCTACACTGGCAACCTCAACCATGCTGTGCTCGTCGTTGGGTACCTCATTTCAACAAAGGATGGTCGCAAAAGCCCCAGTGCTCCGCCGTTTTGGATCATCCGCAACTCGTGGGGGCCAAAGTGGGGCGACAGGGGGCATATGCGCATGGACATCCAGGGAGGAGATGGCGTGTGTGGCATCAACGTGCTCCCTGGTATCTATCCCATTGTCAAGAGTGAGGCATATCCCATTTGCAAAGAGTGATGCATCTACCACATTTGCAAACAAGGATATCCCCAATGGTAAACAAGGATGCTTCCACCATTTGAGGTCTTGTTCAAGAAATTTGTTCGAGTATACTGATAATTTCTCAAAATACCTCACTTCCCGTGTGGCCTATCCATCGAACCCTTCCAGTTGCCAAGGACCCATGCGGCCAAAAAAGCTACAAGGGCGAGGGGGAAGTGCAGGCCAGCATGAACCCGTGTGGTGGCTTCACATGCCGGCCAAACACGAAGACCAACAGCAACACCTGCAACTGCACCATACCTACTGCGGCCACTCAACCCTTTGTTGAAGTGGCAAATGGGTTTGGCTCCACCACGTGTCATATGGTGAGTGATGCGTAAGCCCGGGAATTTTTCTTGGAGCCGTATGGAGGTATTCTGATGTGAAAATTCTTGTTGACATTTTTATAAAAACAAACAGTACCATTTTCTGTAACATCATTCCTTATAACGTCTTTTCCATTCCCCTTGTCCACCCAACAGTTGACATGTGCGGATCGTATGCCATGAACCCATGCGCTGCGGGCACATGCATCAATGATGGCAAGGGTTCCTACTCCTGCATCTGCCCTCCCAACTACATCGAGAGCAGAACAGTTGACAATTTCTCCACCTGCGACCCAGGTGCTGCCACTTTGCACCGTTCATGGCTGAACAGAATAATGAATTTTGATGGGCTCTTGGTAAGCTGTTAAGACTCACCTTCCAATGCCATCAGGGATTTCAAAAGATCGTTCGTACAAATTGTTTTTCTTCTGCACCTACTCGTCCCTGCCTTCCCCATTCCTTCCTCTCTCCAGCCAACGCCACAGCCTCCACTTTGGCTGTAACTGGGGCCAACTGGTTGTGCTCTGATGTGTTACCTGCTGTCGGCCTCGCATTGGCTAGCTTCCCACAGCAAAGCATGGTGAGACAGCCAAATGTCCAAGCATACTCGCATTGCATGAACCGGCCGTGCACTGCCACATTGCTATGATAAGGTTATAGGATTTCGTTGTTCTGAAAATGGAAGCCACCATGTTTTGTATCAAACAAATGTATCCATTGCCATCTATCTCATGTTTTGCAGGCCGTTAACTGCACCCAGCCATTGCCTCTGGGCAAGGTGATTCAGTTGGGCAGCACTGTCACCACCATCCCCTGCACTTCCTTCTTCTATGCCCTCGATGTGAGTCTATGGTTCATATACATCAATTTCACTTCAGGTGGATGGAAGAAGAAACACCTTCTACCATTGGTTTCCTCCCCTGCCAGCAGCAGCACATTCTTTCTTATCAGATACACCTGTTGCATCAACGTGCCATGCTCCTTCAACAAGCCATCTTTTCTTTCTCTCCCCTCACTGTATTCTCCAGGGTGACACCTGTGCATCTATCAGCACCCAGCTGGAGCTCACACCCACTGAGCTTGCCGCTCTCAACCCAGGCCTGAACTGCTCTGAGCCCATCAAGGCGGGCCGCTCTCTGTGCATCGAGCGCAACGCCACTTTGGCCTACACCATCCCACAGTGCTTGCAGTACAGCATGCTCACAGCACAGGACACGTGTGAGGGGCTGATGCTGCAGAGCATGCAGCAGTCTGGTGAGGATGGGTCCACGGGGGCTGAAGTGGTGACTGCAGCCAGTTGGGCTGAGCTCTACCGCAACAATCCCGGCCTCATCTGCCCCCGCAGTAACCCTGCATCCAGCGCCACTGTTGCCACCATGAACAGCGTGCAGGTGAGGAAATGGGTGATGTATGCTGAAATTTATACATTATATCAGCCATTACATTCTTTTTTATTTTCACCATTCCCTGGACTGTGTGTGGATCTTCCATGCCAGGTATGCCTCAAGGCAGACTACGAGTCCTTGGGTTCTCAGAGTTGCCGGATTGGCAGGCTCAAAGTGGTGTCACCAGCACTGTCCTGTGCTGGAGCTTTAAGCTTCTACGGTGGAGCTAAGCCGGGAGCAGTCGCAAAGTTTTCTGATTACAATGGTAGGACATGCTTAGGAACTGTGGGAGTTAACTATCTTTGTGTGCCATAGTGAATCAAGTGAGTGTGTATGTACTTCATCATCTTCCAATCAAACCCCAATATTGGGTTTTAAGAGACTCATCAGGACTGGAACGAAGAGCATGGTAGGGAGTCTTGAACAGGAAGTGGGAGAAAATGGACCCACAGACATGCGGGTTTTGACAACTTTAGTTTAGACAGTTTGTGGATCACTGCAGTTCAGACAGCTACCGTATTCTCCCGGACATAAAACCCTAGGGTATAGCTAGAAATACAGGGAAAAATTGTGGGGGTCTCCTCATCGGAAAAAAGCTACATAATACCTGGGTGGATATATATATGGCATCTTTTAGTGTAAGAGTTTTTTAAATTAGACAACTTGGGTGTTCCTATGGTCGTTTTAACATCACAGTTTGAGGCGCGAATGTGAGTTTCGGCACAACTTCATCACCCCCTCAAAGATGCCATGTTACAAGATAGTATCACCCCTTCTCCCTCTTTCCCTTTTCCTCTTTCAAAAGCGTGAAGCCAGTTTCTAAAACAATTGTCAATTAAGGCTGTACTGATTTTAGTTTTTTCAATACACCTTTGTACCACCCAATATAACCCCCTTTGATACTCGATGATAGTATGTCTGGGGGAAGATTGCGCTACTGTTACCACCTCGTAACATTAAGAAAAAACAGTTACACGTCGTGTACACGGAAACTGCTTTTCTGTTTATTTAATATTTTAGGATTGTGTTCGTAACCTGGTTACATGAATTGTAATATGAAAATGACATCACACGCCACACTATCGAGATGCTTCAACGAGTATTCCCGCACCGAGCTGCGGGGAAGCTAGAAGGCACGCCTCGTAGCTACGACGAGGATCACATTCACGATTCGCGAGTAGTTTTTTCTTATCAGCGCAGCGAGGCCGCCGCCGCTAGGCCTCAGCGACTACCAGCGGGTTTGTGGGGACGGCCTTAGCGATGCCTCGGCATGTTGTGGCGGCGAATGCGTTTCAGCCCACGGCTTCGGGCTGTTTTTGGAGAACGATCGATATTCTTATCGGCACGCAATTCGGGAATCTAGCTCATGGGGGAGAGAGTCGCGAATGTGAAGGACGCTCCCAATGTCATTCGCGTTACTTCTAGGTACCTACTCCAGCATTCGCGTTTTGCAGGGGCGAAACTCCCACCGGCGGCGCATTCGCGTACCGTTTCCCCTCGCGCGCCCCGTCGGCAACACCTTGAGCAGCCTCCTCAAGCTCTTCCCATCACGCGCCCCGTCCGCAACACACCAGCCTCCTCCAGCTCTTCCCATGCCTCCCGTGGACGGGAGGAGAGGAGTTGGCCGCCGAGGCGCGTCTTTCGCGAAACCTCGTTTTCACGCTGACAGGGAGAGCAGGAAACTGTACTTATCAGAACCAATAATTAAGTCATCCAAAAATCACTCGAACCACTCTCTCATTTTGAATCATTCTTGTTATACATTTTGCCTCCGTCTTTATCACGGTACCACAATCTCCCTGCATGGACATCTAAATCCAAACAACTATTTTTGTGGCATCACACATAGCTCTCTAACAGTAGGTAAGCGCTTGGATGTGCCTGATTTTCAAAGAAATTGCCATTCAGCCTCTGATCAATGCTTATCAATGCTGCTTCAGTCTCAAATGTGTGAAATCCCTTGTGTCATGCATTCAAACACATCTGACTGCAAGTTTATCCACATCGCGAGCAGACACTACTGATGCAACTGGTAAACGTAAACAGACTCTCGCAAGATAAGGACTTTGTGGCATAGATGACATTTGAGGTTTAAATGTGGAGGCATAATTTTCAAAACATCAGCACAGTTCATCTTCAAATGGGCTGGCTTGAGCCGGGCTTATGCTCGACCGTGACTTGAAACCTTTGAGGTGGCGTAAAGTTCATTAAATAAGCCTATACTCACAGTACACCAAGCTTGGGGAGATTGGTGAGCGGCAACATTGTTCCACTGAGGTTGTTCCAGCTCATGTCCCTGCAAAAATACACATTTTACACATGCAGCAACCATGGTTGGAGTGGTTAGGTGACATAGTGGCATACTTTCACCACACTAGGAGGCAGTTATGCGTACTATATCTCCACACACGGCCTCAGAGCTGTTTAAAAACACAATGTAAGCATGGAGGAGGGACCGGAGGAAGATAACAAGCGAGTGCATTGCATCCAAGGCCAAGTTCGTCGGTTGTTGTAAATAGAAACAAAGGCTGGTCGGTAAACAAACTCGTGGCAGCACTGACAGCTCTTGAAGCTTGCTCATCGTGCTCATGAATGGAGGGATGGTTCCTGTCAATCCATTGTATGCCAAATTCCTGGACCATAGTGCACAGGGTTACACGACGATTGAGGAAACGGCAGTGATTGGGTGCAAAATGAAGAATTCGGTAGACGGCGTTGTTTACGAGGGTAATTGTTCAGGGCTGTGTACAATGAAGTATCAGAGGTAAGTGGGGTATGGGTCACATAAGCGTACTGTATTGGTGGACTGGGTGAGTACCACACTATGCACGTAGGGAAAGGGTAGTGATACGACAGGACAGCATCACATAACAGAGGTAGGACAGCCTTTTGTACATGGTACGGGATACGCAGAAAATATTATGGCAATTGTTACGAAGGGCTTATAAAAAAAAAAAACATAAAATGTCAAAAAAAAAAAAAACCACACACTTGGAGCTACAAGAAGAAATTCATTTTTGTTGTCATTTGCAAGGTCTTGCACATAAACTTCAAAAGATGGCAATCATTTTTTACTGAACAATGTACGAAACCAGTGACTAGATTAGCCTCGGAAGTCATTATTCAGGACTAGTTGAGCCACGGTCATTTTAGAAAAGGACTTGATCTTGCATTTCCCTCATCCTCAAACAAGCAAACAATAAACATCAACAACAAGCCACGCTCAAAAAGTGCACACATTCACTCAGACTACCTGGCTATAATGGTGGGGGAGATGACTGGAGGGCTGGGAGAAAACGAAGAGAAATGAGGGGTAGATGAGGTAAACACGTTATTTAGGGGCCGTATGAGGCAGATGAGGTAACCGTATGAACGAGACGGAGGGATAAGATGGACACCGCGTTTTTTAGGGGCTTACAAGTATATGAGGTTTGTGAGAGTACTAATTTGAGGGATGGAACCATTGAGCTGCGTGTTATTGATTAAACTGCGATGGAAAAAGGCACAATGGCACAGAATGCACAAAAGCAGCTGAGAAAAGAAGGGAAAAAAAAAAAAACAAAAACAAACAACAACAACAAGAAACAAAACAAACAAACAACAATAGCGACCATATAATCAAAGGGAGAACGATGGTAGGCCACACATGTGCTCATTGCATTGATCCTGGGGGGTTTGTCACCATACGTCTGTGCGCATTGTCACAGTACTCTGGTTTCTTATCTTCACTGACTGCAAGTCTTTTGAATCATTGACGTGTTTATCTTGAGAAAATGAGTAATACACCCAGAAAACCAAAAGAGAAATCACCACATCAGGCCGCACTGAATCACCACATCTGATTTCGACCTCTCGCCAATTTTACTAGAACAGTGCAATTTATCCACTTTCATCCGTTGCCAGCACGAGAGCAATGCAAATTTTACAATTTGGGTACTTATGCAACCAGTGCCATAATCAAAATTGTTAGTGTTCATGTACATACCAGTGAGACGCTTATTACCTTGGAAATCATAAATAAGTGATGCAGACAAACGGACGTCATAAAACAGGCAAAAAACTCACAACACCACAAGGTTTTTTAGGTTGCCGATAGAAGCGGGAATTGAGCCAGTGAGCTGATTGTCATAAAGACCTCTGTAGTAAAGAGTATGAGTCAAGAACGTCATGTATAGGAATCAATTTGAACCTGGTAGAAGAAAATTATTTCCAATGGAGTACGAGGAATGATGAAAGAGGGTGGACGAGGGAAAGGATATAGTGTTATGTAAAAGTAAGCACTGCGAACATGGTACGGAAAAAACAAACAAAAAAAACTTGCACAAGAACCCCAAGAGACAAACAAAGGTTAACAAGAGAAACAAAAGGATAGTCAAAGGAGAATACAGTTCTGTCAATGATGTCAATGAGCCAACGTAATCAGGGATGGAGCCAGTGAGCTCACTTCCACCGAGAATCCTGTGTTGTGACGTGAAAGGTAGGTTGAACAAACGAGATAGTTAAAAAATAGGTATTAAGGTGTGGAAAGCATTGTGAAACGGTTCCTTGACTACAAGGGATTCATTCCATATTTAAGGAAGTTGACGTTACGTGATGAACTTGCCAAAAGGATACGTGGGTACAATACTATCTGTATGTAAAGAAACAGAGGTCGTACAAGGATTTCAGGTTCGTAGAATTGAGGATGGCAGAAGGTATAGTGCCTGACCTGGTTGATATGAAGGTACCTGTGATTGTGAACGCAGATGGGCATGTAATACAGAAGGAATAGAACCTCTGGTAACATGGAAGAACCATACATTCAAGCAAGCTTTTATTGAAGGGGTGAATATTCTGACCAGATCCTGGCACTGTCCCTGAATTATGCGCAGACCCCGTGAAGGGTGTGGATGATAAAAAGGGAAACTAAAGATGATGGGTTGACTGATTGACATATGTGAAGAAGAATAGAGGAGCTAAGGGTATAGAGTGTTGAAAAGAGAGAACGATATCAGTCCAAGGAACGAAAGGGGCTTACAGGTGCGCTATGTTTGATAGAGAGAGAATGGCAGCAGGAATTGAGCCACTAAAAAGATTTCCTCGAAGCGATCTGTGATAGAAAAAACCAAAGGGGCGTGATATGAACCAAACAGAGTATATGTGGGAATGATATGGGTCGTCAAGTTGCTCGAGATGTAACTTGCTGCGTGGTCTCTGAATATGGCACATACCATGACATGGCAGAGTACTGACATGCTTACAAGAAGCAGCGATGATCAAACAAGAAATTGTGTACTTCGAGGGTGGGGTATAACTGATTGAAAAAAATAAAAGAT